ATTAAAAATTGTGTGTGAAAACTGAACGAAATGCATGAGAATTGCAGGATTGTATATATATATATATATATATGGCTGATGCTTGACAAACAAATACAAAACAAATTGATTTTTATTTCAATTATAAAATACAACATCCACACAATACACCCACCCACACACACACACACAAACATAAACACATCAACCAAAAAAATAAAAGAAAATGTTCTGTTGAAGCTTGAACATATTATATATAAACAAAATTGATAGCCATAGCAAAGTTCAAAATACAAAAAAAAAAAAACAAAAAAAAAAAAAATAAAACGGTTTAATAAGTAAAAGTTCAACTATTAAAAATATTGTGCATAAAGTCAAGTTAATAAATAGTTAATAAATCGAGTCAAGGAAGATAGAGGTCCGGCGCAGACATAGAACGAATTATCAAATGTGAACATTCAGAGTGTACCTATTACCAATACACATATACAAACAAGCATATATATATATATATATATTTATTTATTTTAAATAAATTATTTCAAAAACTAACTGCTTATTTTTACTGAGTGTTTTTGTGTGTGTGTGTGTGATACCCCCACTTGGTTGCCTAACAACAAAGGTTGCCATGCGTGTTCAGGTTGTTTGAAGTTAACGTGCGAGACCTTTCCACTGACATATCGGGCACACACAACTGTTGAAAAGGAATCGAAACATATTATTTATACATACATATTATAGATAAAAACTAAAATTTATAGAGAGCAAAATTTGAACTATTAACAATATGCACAGGCATCGCTATAATAACGTACAACTCGATGGGCTGACTGCGGGCTTGCTCAGGCACCAACAGCAGCATCAGCCGCAGCCGGAGATGCCGTTGCCCAAAGGAGGGCATATAACTGACAAAGACAAGGACAATGAGCAGTTGCCCATGTGGCCAAGTGAACGCATTGCCCCTGGCGGCAGCGGTGCCTTCCATGTTCCCAAAGTGGAGTACAGCAAGGAAACTGCTGATTTACTTAAGCGTAAGTATAAAAGGATTCCTGGGATGCCATTTAGCTTGCCCCGTTTGCGTTGCAGTGCTCATGAAGGAGTCGAAGATGTCCATGATTATGCGCAAGCAGATCGATCAAAGCTTGCGTAGTGGTGAGCCACTGCCCCTGCCTAAGCCTCCTCGTCCGAATACCAGCAACGACATCGACAAGGAGACCCTGGCCATACTGGAACGTGCTCGCAACGCCAAGCGCAAGAATCTGCGCCAGATTGAGAGTAGCGGCGCCTATGAGAGGTCCTACTTTCGCCCCAAAGTGGACAATCGCATGGTCAGCGATAAGGCCAAGTCAAGGCTGCAATTCACCATGGCTGGCATTGAGCTGCCGGATCCGGCTATCAAGCCGCTACGACGTACACGTGAGGATCGTTTGGTTACCGAGAATGATCTAATCAATGAACGTGAGTCCGGCTCAGTTTTTTTTTTCGATTTAAATCTCTCACTTCATATATAATGTCATCCCAGTACTGGATCAAATCAATGAACGTGCCGAATGGCTGGCCGAAATGGAGGCTCTGGGACAGGGTAAAAAATATCGTCCGGAGATACACGACCAAATCTCCGAGCGCTTACATCGCATCCGCAGCTTGGAGACCAAGATGAAAATGAAGGCCGATGGAGGCTATCGCTTTGTCGACTAGAATTAACTTGAGAAGCAAAATATGTTGAATGTTTAACGTGTAGAAATAGTTTTACAAGTAAATTGAGCGAACCGTTGAGCACATTAATCTTTTCTACTTAATTAACTAAAGAGCATAGTTTTAGGGCGTATGTTGTAATAATTTTATAATTTTATTAAAATTATTTACTTGATATAATATAATCGTTTGTATAAGTTCAAATTGAATCGTGGCACATTTTTGATACAGACAAAAACTCACACAGCTTAAGAATTTAAGAAGCGCAATTCAATGAAATTACGAGTTTCTGTAATCGAGCGTTTGGCTAAATGAGCGAATACTATAACGATTGAAAATACATACGTATGAATCTGTTGTAAGTAATCGAATAAATTAGTGGAGTATATGTTTATATATAGATAATACGGCTAGTGTATTTCTTGTTCCTATTCCTTATGCTTCCTTGCGTAAGTTAATATATATATATATGTATACACGTCTGTAATGCTCCATTTAAAAATAGACATTTTGTGCTACAATTGTACAAGATTGATGTTTAACAGGAGGGCATGTGGCATCGAAACTCGCCGGCGGCCTCGGCAAAGCGATTGCGTATCAAATAGCCGCTGATGACCTCAGCAACCTCGTGTGGACGGTCCTCGTGTACGGCGTGACCGCAGCGTGCCAAAACTTGCATTTGAAAGCGTCCCTGCATTTGGCCAACGGTTAGTGTGCGATCGAGGCCATCAATGCTGGCCAAGAGCAATTGCTTAGGTAGACGTAAGTTAAGGAACTTGTCGCTGAGACCCGAAAACCAGCCGACCCAATACTTTTCCGATTTAGCCAGATCGATACGCCAGGTATAGCTACAAGTATTAAAAATGTGGGCCTTGCTTTGCTAAGTTACCATTCAAATATGTACATACTTCTTGGCCGCATCTGTTGCAGCTTTAGTTGTCGTGGGCTTCTTGAAGTCAACACTTTCAGCTCCTTCTTCCCCGGCATTGCCTACCTCTTCATCTTCAGAAATGCTAAATGCATTGGGAAACATGCTCGTGTGATGCGCTTCCTCTAGCACCTCCTCTGGCAGGGGAAGATCATTCGTTGCCAATTTATTCGTTGTGCAGCTAAAACGGAAAATCAATTATAAATAAAAGCTCTCTTCGCAATGACGTCACTCACTTAATTATCTGTCCAGGCATTGAGACTTTGGCACTGTCCACATTCCTCACCTGTCCACTCCGAATGCACCACTCAATGGCATTCGGTATACTCTGAAAATACTTAGGACGCGAGCGCAGAAAGCTTTGCATGCTAGCCAAAGCTTCCATAGCTGTGCCCTCAACGACATCGATTACGGTGATGCCAATCAGAGTCGGCACCAATGCCATATGAGCAAAATGCACAGCAATGGCTCCGCCCATTGAGTGACCAACCACATAGATTTGCGGTACTTCCTCGGGATAGAGTTTTGTGATTAGATCACCAATGTCCCTATAAGTACATACAGAGCAAAGCACTTAGGCATCCACTAAACTACATGTAACACACACAGTCAGAGAAGCAACAGGCTAACACTTACTGTGATAGCGTGTCTGCCGACAAGTCGTCCTCATCATCCACTTTGCTGTCGCCGTGTCCTCGAAGGTCGACGCAGAGACACTGACAGTGTATCATGCTTGTTACTTCCGACTAGAAGGTAAAACGGATAGTGATGGGATATGATAATTGCTCACATGTACAGCGCACAATACATACACAAAAGTGCGCCCAAGTAAGCGCGGAATAGCCCCCTCCGTGCAATAACAACAATACGGGGCCTGGTTTCTCGGGTTTTTTTGTACGGTAGACTCGAAACATTCGATGCTCGTCCACGACGACGTCTTCTTTCTCGGCGAAGAATTCGTTCCACATGCATGGCTTGTAGTCCCTGATTCGTGATTTTTTAAATGAATCTCTGCAATGGCATATAATTTAGATGTCATGTCCTTCATCCTCCGCCCACACGCTTATAATTAGCGGAAAAAACTTACGCTCGGCCAATCCGGCCACCCGGAATGGTGGGTGGCAATTTGGACTTAAGCATTGTACGTTGTAAGCTTGACATTGCTTACGGATTGTCTGTCAAGTACTTGAAGATGATATATTAAAATCTTTGTATTTTTTTTCGTTATGTTTTCGCTTCTGTTAGGCGCCAGAAGACTTTAACATTTGCTGATATGTTATTAACAGTGCATATAATTTGAGTGTCAACGAAAAATACTGAGTTTTCAATCATTCACAAATTATTCAATTATTGACTGCATAAACGCATAAGCTTTATTTAAACGTTGTTTTAAATAGCATTATTTCTTTGCGCGAAGATTAACTTTGCACCTTGAAACAGGTAAACTGGTGACTTTGTAACAATTTATTTTATGTTAACCACAGTAACTATATAGTACCTCCATATAAATATAACAGAGCAGCTGTTGCCTAATCCTTATCGATATTTTTTTACTAGTCCTTGAAAGCTATCAATACGTGCTTAAATATCATAGTTATTTGATACTTATAGTATTTTTTGTTAATAATAATAATGGCGGATATAAGTATTTTTATGACTATCGAATAAATTGCTCGATAGTAACATATCGACTATATCGGCGGCTCAAAAAAACTTTAAATTCACAATCTATCATAGCACTAGCCATAGTTAGTGATCATAATAAACACAAAAATATTAATCTAAACAAAATACAAGAGAGCATAATTGGATACACCATTGCACGAATTTTGATGATTCCGTTTTGAATATTTTCTTGCGTATAAATACATACGTTGTGAATAAATTTACATTATCTGACAAACCTGTTTCTTAAAGCTCATCTAAATGTCTTATTTAAAAAGTTTAGCCATACAGCAGGGCTACAGTGAGCATGACCTATATGGAATTCAGGCTGATAACGAACAGCTAATGTAAACAAAACTCTAGAAGACGTCGCACCAACGAGACGCAACGCATACTATTTTGATATCTGCCTAAACAAAACGGAAACTGGACTGGCTTGGGCTCTCAGTTGCCCATTAGCGGTCGTAGCGTTCGCACACAATCAACTACAACAATTAAGTTGCTCGTTTGATAACGTAAAAACAATACAAGTGTTCTTCGCTTCTGAAAGCCTGATAATAACAGTTGGTATGTGTACAAAAAGTACTTTCGGTTAATGGAATTGTAGAAAAAAAGAGAAAGTATATCAGCTGAAGCACACTTAAAACACCCGCCAATGCAATACATATTTATCTTATGTCTGGCAACGCCTTCATATCAGCTGTTATCTTTAGCTATTCTCTCTCTCTCTCTGAGCGCGTTAGGTTTTGCCGGTGCAATATGTAAGCCAAAAGTTCGTGCACTTTGCAGTCATTTTGGTCAATTTAATTAATGCAATTTGCGCCAATTTAACGAGTGATGCAACGTTAATATACTTCCGAATTTATCAGTTAGCAAATAGTTGCATTTTTAATCGATCCGATGACATTGTGATAAGGTGAGAGCCGCTCTGATAACAGTCATTTTGCACACCTTTCCTATATGCATGTACATACATATGTATACATACATATGTGAGTGAGTGTGTGTGTAGCTAATTTTGTTTACGTACGTATTTTCTTTTTAATGGGCCTGTATTATTATTATTACGGCTTAACGGGGTATTGTGACACGTTCACATTCGTATAACAAAAACATATTTTTTCTATCGAATCGCAAGTTAAATAATGGCATTAAATAGTGGAAATGGTACAGTCCCAGACTCCAAATTGGGAGATGAGCATGTCGCAGTGCAAAAGCTTCAGCCCGATGCCAAGATCTATGACCGCCTAATGACACTGAGCGGGTTTTTCAAGCAGCAATACGGCGATGAACCAGAGTTCTATGTGCGTGTACCCGGACGGTAAGAGGATAACAACGGTTTTTATATAATATACACCCCGATCCTTATATGTTTGTGTTCTGCAATAGCGTCAACATAATAGGCGAACATGTCGACTACTGTGGTTACTCGGTGCTGCCCATGGCCGTGGAGCAGAGCATTATTCTAGCCGTGGGCACAAACAAGCAACGGGCGCAACTAGAGCTGCATCATCTGGATGAGGGCAAATTTCAAAGCTTTGATTGCGATCTAAGTGACCTTGAGTAGGTTAAATTATTGACATCAGATGTATTTCTGTTTGCGAGTTAAATATATTTCACTGCTAGGATCAAGCTGCCCAAGACTGGAGGACCGGGCTGGTACAGCTACTTTCTGTGTGGCATTAAAGGCATACAGGAAGAGCTGAATGACAAGTGGCGTCCAATTGGTATGCGCATTGCTCTCAGTGGCAACGTTCCTTTGGCCGCCGGACTGTCCAGTTCCAGTGCTTTGGTCAGCGCTGCTGTACTGGCTACAGGACATGCTCAGGGCATGCCGTTGGACCGCAAGCAGCTGGCCTCGATTTCGGCAAGCTGTGAGCAATATATTGGCACACACAGCGGTGGCATGGATCAAGCCATTGCCTATCTGGCGAAGCAGGGCTGCGCCCAACACATCGAATTCCATCCAAAGCTGAAGGGAACGCCGGTTACGTTGCCCGCCGGAAGTTGCTTTGTGGTCGCCAATAGCCTTGTGCAGAAGCGGAAAGCAGCCTCTTCCGACTACAACGAACGCGTCGTCGAATGTCGCTTGGCTACGCGTTGGCTAGCAAAGTCGCAGAAGTTGCCCAACTGGAAGGATCTTATCAGATTCGTAGATCTCCAGGAGGCTTGTCATTTGGATAATGATGCATATGTGAAGCTCATTGATCAGCAGTTGAAAAAGTCGATTTACACACGCGAGGACATTTGCGAGGGCCTCGGGATCACGGAACAAGAGTTGGAAACAGACTTCCTAACACCCAGCACCCAGCACATGCAGCAGTTCAAACTGCGCCAACGGGCTTTGCATGTTATCCAGGGTTAGTTTTAAATGCATTTCAATAATTATTTATGTACTATTTATACATATTTGTCTAACTATTATCCATAGAGGCGGGTCGAGTAGTCAAGTTTCGTCAAATTTGCGAGCAGCTACAACGGCGCTCCAGCAAACAGGACATTGAGCAGCTGGGTCAACTCATGCAGGAGTCCCATCACAGCCTGCGCGAGCTCTACGAGTGCTCGCATCCGGATTTAGAGCGCCTCGTGGCCTTATCTGCCAAGCAAGGCGTCAGCGCGCGTGTTACGGGCGCGGGGTGAGCAATTATTGATATCTTTTAATCTGGCTAATCTCTCATCTAATATATAACAAAAATGCATTCAACTCCGTTTACAGCTGGGGCGGTTGCATTGTGGCCATGTGCGACTCAGTAAAGGCTGCTTCAGATTACGTCAACGTACTCAAGCGCGAGTACTACGCTCAATTGCCTGCTCATCTCTTGGAGCGCTATCAGCCCAACGACTTCAATGAAGTCGTCTTTGCCACGTTCCCCAGTAACGGTGCCGAGCTGTTTGTACAATAATCAAAGACACTTTTGTAAACCTGTATATAATATAGCACCTCCACTCCATATACTTTTTTTATTGAGCTATTGCACATTCTGCCATATCATTGTTCCACTACTTATAGCTGCTTGTAAAATTGCTTTAAATATAAAAAAAACATGATTTTTTTTTATGGAATTTAAAATTTAGTTGTTTTGAATCAAGACTAATTTGTATACTTATATACAAATATTTAGTGTGCTGAAAATAGCAAATTAGACTCCTTCAAGCAGAAGGATGTAAGAAGAATGTATATAAACAAGAATCTGGAATTAATAAAAATGCATATTACCAAGAATTCGCTTTTTTAAAGAATTTATTATTACTATTATATTTTTTTATTTGAATTTTTATTAATATGTTTAATCCTCAATATATTGACTTTTCTCTTATGCTCACACTTTTATTAATACTCGAGGCACAATTCGTCCAATATATTGGCTTTTAAGATATATTAGCCATTCATACCGATTTCTTTGCATCCTTGAGTGGGTGTTGGTTCTCGCGGCGCATCAAATGGTAAGTGGTAATAATGCAGATGCTCGTGCATTGACATCTCTACAATTTAAATGCACAAAATAAAGCACAACACCTAAAATCGTTTACTCACGTTTGTAGGAAACTGTGTAAAATAGTTAACAGCAACAAGAAAGTATGCCTTTAGTAATAAAATGACCTAAAACCTGTTTCAAAGCTATTCGAAAAAGCTTTATAGCTCAACACCTTATGCCAATAAAACCCCAACAGTGATCAGAAATGTTTTAGTCAGAAGTTTCCGACTAGCAGATGACCTCGCGAACCCTTTTATCTTAGAAAGCAAAAGTAATTTGTTAAGGTTTCTGAATCCTTGATGAATGTATCAAACAACTAAAATTATCTAAGAACATTTTCGATTTCCATATGATTGACAACATCCAAGCTATCTAATTTCATTTGACATGTATTATTTTTAATATTATTATTTTAACTTAAACACATTTATTTTTTACTAGGTCAACAAATAAAGTTGCAACAATTTAGCCCGTTTAGCAGTTTAGCTGAGATAGCCTTAATAATTCCTTATCTGACAAGAGTCTCGACTTATACGATTAAAAATTGTTGATTATATTCACAAACATAAAATTATATAATACACAAAGCAACAAAGTACGAACTAGAATACAACAAGGCACGGGAGATACGGGACATGTTTTCCCATCTATCTGCGACTCAGGTAGCCCGCGTTCTTGAAGAGCTTGTAGACCTGTTCGCGGGGAATCTTCTCCGCCTCCCGGTGGATAACGGCCATTTCCTTGCGGGTGAGCAGGGACTCCTTCGCCAGATTGGCTGCAATGACGGGGTCATCATAGAACCGGGCACTCTTCGATAATTCGTGAGGCAGCTCCGACTCCCACTGTGCGTTCTTCACCACCGAAGGATGCGCCTCGGCTGTGGCGTATCCCGTGTACGGCGACTCTGGCTCATAGGCCGCCTTGGCTGGCAGCCCCAGTGCCTGGTGATAGAAGAACTGAGCCCGAGCTGTGCTCAGGGCGAGGGCTAGGCAGGCGAACACACTAAACAGGCGGGTGGACCACATCGTAGGCGCTGCAAGAGAGGAGAACCTATTGTAGGTGAGCCGTTCCATTTTGTTTTAATTGAAGGCTAATAAACGATATGGCTATGGGGCTAATAATTTGGGTGCGTTGGCCATTGGTCAGTGGCAATTTGTAATCTTTCAGCAGAAACTGTCAGTTACGTGCGTCATAAATTATTTACGGAAAAATCAATTATCGCGCCAACAAGTGGAGCGACTAGACACAGGCATGAGCACGACTCTGGCCTAGCTGGCAGCAATTGTTGCTGCTGCAACAGCAACTGTTGCTGCTGCAGCAGCAGTAACTGGCAGTAACTGGCGCTTTATCCATGAACTTTTCGCAATTGACGTTTGTTTTTCTCTATTTGTTTACTTATGTTTGTATTTGCTGAATGATAACAGTGGACAGCTGCAGCGACTTAATTGTCAGTCTGCTCCACATAGGCTGAAATATTTCACAGTCTTAGTCACAATTCAAAATTGGCATTCGAACGAGAGGCGCACAGCTTGGCATTTGAACAGAACTAGAGCCAAAGTCAAGGTTGCACATTAACAGCCCACACAACAACAACAACAACAACAACAACAACAACAACAGCAACAAAGATCGTTGATTGTGATCTTAATCTCGATCTCTTTGGTGACGCCCACCACTTGACTCAACACGGGGGAATTGGAACAAACACTGCACCTGGCTCTGGTTGACGGTTGACTGGCTGGCAAAGTTGACACAGAAACTGTAACTGAAATTCGAATAACGAGGTGGCGTACTTTTATGTGTTTCACGTTGAATGCCACAGCAAACGAGTTTCACTCAACGCGCGTTGAGCCGAGTCCATTCGAGAAACACTCAAAGCGGTGAGCCGAGCGCTGCAAGTTTGAGTGGCTGGAAAGGCGTCTACACACGGGTGTATTTATTTTGTATTCAATTAATTATGGATGAAAGAGCAACAATTGCGTGTCGACCTAGGCCTAGGCCATAGTTTGTGCAATTAAATGCGTCAGCTTTTTGCTCAGACTGCCGTCAAGTTTCTCATGCTCTACAAAATGCCCGCCAAAAAAGGTCGCCTGTTGCCGGTTGCTTTACAGCTGTGCACAGAGTGCAAAGGGCAATACTGCTCGACTGGATGACACCCTGGACAAGTACTGAGAAGAGTTGAGTAGGAATAAGCCAACAGGCACACATATCCAAGGAAATCGGATTTGCATTCGGATCTCCATTCCAACTACTTTTATTTCTTTTATTTCGCTAATTCCTATGCCCATATCCATCTGGTCTATCATCACAGGGTATTCGATTTTGTAATTTAAATGTTTTTTATTTCTATTATGCTTTCCTATTTCCATAATTTAATTACAGAGCTAATATCGACTTAAGTATCTGAAATTTAGGATTAATTTGATTACAAAATATTTTTATTTTATGGATAATGTAATAGTGGGGGGTTTAGCTGTTACTGTGATACCGTTGTAATTTAATTTTTAAGTGTTTTTTCTGAGATATTCCATATTTCAGCTTCGTATATTATCATTATATAATAATATAATTATAAATTAATATAGAGAGTTTAACAGAGTACGTTCAGCATTTGTATCAGCTTTTACCAGTTAATGCAACTCAAACGACTCTATCGTCTGTTGTGTGTACAGGGTATATTTATTGTTTCTCTTATTTATATGTGTAATTCGCTTAGAATCGGAATCCAAATCCAAGTGCGATTGCGATTGCGATTTCGAGTTTTGAAAGTGTTGTTTGACCCTGAAACTGAATCTGAAACTGAATGCTCAACCAGCTCAATCTCTCAGCTTCTCAGTCTCGACTGGAGCGGAACGTGAAGCTGCACATGTTTGACCCTAATTTGTTGTGGTTGCTCGCAGTCAACGCTGGGGTTATTCAACCGCTGGTGTCAGCTGATGCGGAAGCAGCTCTCCACCCGGGGGGCTGTGGCGGCGGGAGCAGCTGGGCTCTGGCTGGGCTAGTATTTCGATTGCCTTGAACTTAAGCGCGTAGGCGGCACAGGTGCGTGGCTCAATATTTCTTTGTGGTAATTACATTGGCTGACTCTTAGCTCGGCTTCATGTCTAGGGTGTGGTCTAACAAATTGGTGTTTATTTGTTGGCCCTGTCCAATTCGATTTTTAATGAATAGTGATTTGTAGATGCATATTTAAGAGACATTATTCAAATACCACTGTATATGGCTGCATTGTTTGCATGGGATTAACAGCGAAACCTCTCGAATGGTTTTGTGCTCTTTAATATATTTAGCTTTGATGAGATAGTAATGTGGTGAATCAAGTTATATATTTACACTTTATTATATTTTTATGATCTTGAATCATTCGCTCTGATAATGTCAAAATTTACATATACCTTATAGGTGGTCTAATCGAAGATTTCGTCTCTACACTTTTGAAATCGACGAAAATATGGGAATGGAATAAAGAGAATTTTAGGCAAGATAAAAAGTTTGTGCTCTAGATAAAAGTCATAGTACAAATCCTCGTACATTTGCTGTTTATACTTACCAAAGGTCAACATTTCTCTCTAATTATCTCATCATGACAAGTTATTAATCTTTCCATCAATGGGATCACCTACCAGAGACTTTTTTTTAGGAACATCAATTAGTACTTAATTTCATGAGTAAAGTGTTGCATTTGTTATAGCACTGAAAACACTCATTTGATTGCTATGAATGATAAATTACACACAATTTAAGTTTTTAAATATTTACAAATAGCTCACTTTCACATAACAGTTATGTTTTGAGTGGCTTCTGAGCAACCTTCAAGTATTATTTCGATTTATTTACTTAAACACCTAAGTCTACACAAGCTCACACACACACACACACACACACACACAAAACTCAGTTGGCGCAGTGGCGCCAAGGCCTTTACATGCAGTTTCAAGTGCACGTAATTCTGGCACAATGCAAACGACTATGGACAACACGACGTATGAGCAACATCATATCCGCTTTGCCATTGCTGAGGTTAAGCATACGCACAGTGCACTCTCGTGAAATGCGCGAAAGTTCGCACTGACCCCACCTTGAACAACAACAACAGCAGCAACAGCAACAGCAACGGCGACGGCGAACTACAGTAAGAGAGCGAGCGAGGCCCTTGCCTCCTGTGCCTACCGGCTTTCAAACGAACTGCAGGAAAGAGAAACAGAAAGAGCGAGCGAGATAGAGGATTAAAGAGAAACTTTGCAATCGCTCACTCGCTCGTTCTCTATTATTGCAAATGCACTTGTGAGCTGTGCGTCTGCATGTGTGTGTGTGCGTGTGTGTCTGAGTGTTGGTGAGTGCATTCTTAATGCAGTGGAAAATCGTTCTGACGTTGTGGTTCAGTTGTCGTTGTGCGGTCCGACTATCGGTTTATTTCAGCGCATTTGCACGTCTGTGCGAAAGTCAGAATAAAACTGAAACTGAAACTGAAACAGAAATTTCAATTAGTGCACATAAATTAGCAAAAATCAATGGCATAGGCAAAAATAAATATAAAAAATTATAACACAAGACAATAAACATATGAGCCGCAATCAAGTGACCTGGTCCAATTCGGAAATTCATGCCAGTGGTGCAATGTCTCTAAAATGCTGCAGTTGCACAAACCAATAAATTGGGCGCACAACTTAGCTTCAGCTCCACTCCAGACTTCGAATCAGTTGCGTTTGGGCTGCGGGCAGAATGACGACGACTGCCATGGCGGCAGGTGCACCGAATGGCGTCACTGATCTGGCCGGCACAACAGCAGCGAATCAATATGTGGAGGACATCGAGTGTTTGCGCAAACTGTTTCGATCGAAGAATCTAACAAAGTTCAGCATCGGCCACATCTCGTGCAGCGCGGGCAGCAGCAGCGGCGACAACTACATGTCCTTGGTGAAGCGGGTGACAATCCATGATGCGGGTAAAGAAGCTGCTGATTTGCTGGGCAGACTTGTATTCATCGTCCAGTAAATTGAAGTCAAGCTGCGTTCAGCCTATTGATTAATTTTGCTGCTCGCGTAGCTCTTGTGGTTGTTGTTGTTGTTGTAGTTGTTGCTGCTACACTTTTAGCGGCGACGTCAACTGACCTTGTTATACGAATTCTAAATGCAATATAGATATATACATATATATGTATATGTAATATACATTTGCTAAAGGTCAACACGCACACTCGCCCACACACGAATACACACGTAAACTCACACGCACACAGCAGGCAACTGAGCGACTCTCTCAGCACACACACACACACACACACACACACACACACACACACACACACACACACACACATCCATACAAAAGCACACACTTTCTGACAAAGAGCAAACAACTTCATTCATAAAATTTACTATGCCGCGTAAACAAAAGTCAGCTGTTCAGCTTGCGAAAGAGAGAGGGAGAGGCAGAGCGTGAGACAGGCGCAAGCGATGTTCTCTCTGTGTGTGTGTGTGCTTTGCAGTGTTCTGGCTTTGATTTATTCTGTTTTGTTTCGTTTTGTTTTGCTTCTTTCAGCTGCTGCTGAGAGCGCGACTGCAACTGCCAGCTGCTCAGTCATCATCAAGCGTCAGATTGCGAGCATCTCGCGTCGGCAGCTTTACCGTTGCGGCGAGGCGTTCACAAACGAGATCAACGTGTATCAGCATGTGGTGCCGCTGCTCTGCCGCTACAGCCAGCAGCCGCTGTTTCCGCAGTGCCACATTGCATCGCATACGGATGGCAGTCCGAGTGGCGAGCCCATTATCGTGCTGCAGGACCTCAAGGCGCTGGGCTTCCGCATGATGAACCGCTTGGCCGGTCTCGACTTGCGGCACTGCCTGCTCGTGATGAAGGTAGGCAGCATGTTGGAGCCTCCTCGACAGCGTCCAATGTACATCAATAATTTTGCAGAAACTGGCGCAGTTGCATGCAGCTTCGCTGGCCGCACAGCATCTGGAAGCTGCCCACTTCGCTGAGCAGTGCGCGCACATGAGCGAGATTGTCTACTGCCCGGATGCCGCCGACTTCTATTCGCGCATACTGGACACATCGGTGCAGCAGGCGCTGGACAGCCTGAACGCCTCGAATGCGGACGGCTATCTCTCGGCGCCCATACGTCTCATCGAGCAGCTGCAGCCGAAGCTGTTCGGCCAGCTCCACCAGAGCATCAATGCGGCTGCCGCAACGCCGCTCAGCGTAATCTGCCACGGCGACCTCTGGCTAAACAATCTAATGTTTCGCTCACAGCCCGAGGAGGTAATCTTCTTCGATCTGCAAGCCATGCGACGCACCTCTCCCGTGTTTGATCTATTGCACTTCATATATACCAGCACGCACCGCCAGCTCCGCGACGTGCATACGGACACGTTGCTGGCTGCCTACGCAGAGGCGCTCCGCAAGGAGCTTGGCCAGCAGCTACGTCATACGCCAGCGGCCAACCAGCTGGCAGACCTCTGTGAGATCTTTTCCTTGCAACGCCTCAGCGAGGACTACGTGCGTCACGTGCACTACGGTTTGGCCATATCCATGTGGATATTGCCTGCCGTCACCTTTGATCCCAACAATATACCCGACCTGGATGTGATAAGTGAGCTGAACCTGAATGGAAAAGAGATTAACTGTACGCAGAAGCTGACGCCCGAGTATCATCTGCGCATCAGAGATTTGGCCCTGGAGTTCTACGAGCATGGCTACCTGGGCGTGTGATTAGGTGCACCACTAGTAGTTATTATACCCTTTAAGCCAAGTTGTTTTCATCTCAATAAACGAACACAAGCGATTCCCCTGACTCCACTTTCTTATTGTTATCTCAGTGCGATGTAGTTGATCAAGAGATTTAGCAGTTAAAAAGGGACAATTGCAGCATTTGTTGCTTCCTTTATTACCAATGATTCCTCACTATTGTAGCTTAAACGAATTTTGTTGATAAGTGTTCTGTGTTGGCTGGTCGTTGGTAATTATAATAAAAAAGCCATGATCTAAAAGAAAAAAACAGATGAACGCACAAGCTTGTTGCACGTTCCTATAAAAGCAAACATGGAATTTCAGCAGGGGTCCTAGACTTCTGATTATTCAAACGAGTCAATGTCTCATTTATTGCCACCTCCGCCCCAGCCAAGGAAGCCCTTGACAAAGCCCGTGATGGAGGCGCCCTTCTTTCCGGGCGATTCGAGCTTATCCTCCAGGGATGGTAGTTCCAAGTAGTTCATGGCCAGATCGAAGAACAGGGGCTTGCAGGGTATGGGCTCCATGTCGGGCGTCAGCTTGAACACATTAGGCGACCGGGTATGCAGCGATTGATCCTCCTTATATTGCGAGAGACGTTCGTACAGCGGCTTCGTTGTCTTCTGCGATTTGGTGGAGACTCCACTCGCATCCTCGCTATTGTCATCTTCCAGCACACTATATGCAAGAGCCGAAAACTTGCTACCATCGATTGAGGCAACAATTTTCTTGAGCTCCGATTGCAAATCGAATTCAGCGCAGGATTTGCCCTTGAGCGCATCGTTGGCGTAGTTCGACGCGCGCTCGTACAGCGCCACTGCCTCCTTCCACTTCTTCATATCGATCAGAGTGAGCGCAATGTAATAGCAGCGGAACGCCTTAAAAGTGAGCGCTAGGTTGGCCACCTCGCTCTGATACTGAGTATCCTCCTCCATGCCGCTGATTTGCTGCATTTCGGTAACATTCTGTAAGATGATCTCGTACAGACGCGCCAAATCCTGTGGCCGTACGCGTTTGCCTTCGGTTTGAGCTTGCCCCTGCTGCTGATTGGGATCATCGAAGTTCAGCTTGGCCTGGGTAAATGAATTCATAAATCTATTTTAAAGTGATCGACACGAGAGCTGGATGTGGGTAATTACCTGATCAACCAAGCACAAATTGCGCTGCAGAGTACGGCTGTGGCGTATGTAACTCAAATATGCCAGCAAGTATTGCACGCCCGAAACAGTTTGACCTGTGGTCAGCGACCGCAGCTTGGGATCCTGTTTAATCTCATCCCGCACTGCCTGTATGGCATCCTTGCAATCCATTAATATGCGTTCAATCAACTCAATCTTGGCATCCTGTTTCGTTGTCTTGGCCAGTGCTTTGTCCAGCTCCTGGGCGCTAAGCAAGAATAGGCGTACCTTTTCGGGACGGACGGTGACCTTGCGGCTACGCCAATCGATCGTCTGGAGTCCCTCGCTGCTCTCCGATTTCGTCTGGCTAACCAGCACATCCAAGTTCTCCAACACGCCCTGAGCTCGCAGCTCTAGGATTTCATCGATCTTGCCGCCGCTGGCACCACCGCTAATGTTATACGCACAATAGCGCAAGTTGGGAGTAAACTCATTCACCTTGGCACGATACAGCTCCTGATCGTCGTCAGGCAGCGCTTTCGCCAGGTTCTCGTACACCACCTGGGCTCTCTTTAAATGCTCACCAGCCGACTTCCATAGCTGCAGCTCAAAGTGCAATGTACCATGCATCCAGGCCACATATGCCTCGCACTCAAGTTTTGTGCGCGCATCGAACGCTTCCGTCTGTGGTATAAATATTAATATTTACGATAATCTAATATCAACAAGTAGCCGATTTACTAACATTGCACAGCTCCTGTAACTGAAGAGCGTAGAAGCAGGCGCGACGCAGCTTGTTTACCAAATGAAAGCGCTTTCGCGGCTCCGTGTTGGCCTCTTGTTTCAGCTGCATAGCATAGGCCCAGGCACGCTCCGCACTTATCAGCGGTATGTGTATGAACCGCTCGTCTGCTTTTTTCCCTGTCAGTTGGGATAATGTTACATCGCGACGCTTAAAGTGACGTTTGTCGCCCTGGGGATACTTCAAAGCCTTGCGTAGACGTCGAATGCGGCGTGTGCAGTATCCACGATATCGTTGATAATCGCCGTGTCGGAGACCATGTTGTTGCTGGGCGTCCTTGATCATATGCAGGACTGCAATAATTGCACCAAAAAATTATTGTTTTCAATTTACATCCATTTTTAGGTTAATTATCTTCGCAGCTCCCGTGGTGGGGTACTTAGACTCACTTTCAACTGTGAAGATTTTCACTGGTTCTGGCACCAGAGTGCTGCTGTCACTTTTCTCCACAGCCTCTACATTATTTGGACTTGGCTCCTCAACAACCATTGTTAATATTTTAATGCCAACAATACACCTACAACGTGTAAATATTCACGGATGTTTAAGAAATATACGAATGCACGACGGTCGGGTCGTCAAACGTAAACGTCATCATTGTTTTCCATTCCGGTGGTGGAACTTTATGAAATAAAAGTATCGATATCTTACAACACAACTTTTTTCATTTATTTCAGCAGTAAACAAGTGATTGTTAAATTTGATTGTATTAGTTATTTGTTAGAACAGTTACATTCGATTTTTTAAGAAGCGTTCATTTATTAGGTGCTTGTTTTTAATTGCAAAAATTATCTACACCTGCATATATCGATGCTATCGGTTTTCTTGGAGCTTACCCACCATTAACAATCACTATCGTGCACTCCCTTTGAAACTTGTTGGCTGACAACGCAAGAGCGTGCGTTGACGTTCTGCTTGTTTTAAATAAATTTCAGACAAGTTCGCAGGTAAATTACAAGTAAATTTGTGTTTAAACATAATCACGGCACATTGGAAATCGCGGCAAGTGCCAGGGCTTATTCGATATATTGCTACAAAGCATTTGTTTTGAGGTTATACTTTCACTGCACGCAACTTGATTGCCCTGTCCGTCGCCCCTTCCCGCATTGCACTAGTTTTGTTTTGACGGCTGCTTCTGACATTTGCAACGTTGACAGTGTCCAATGCGCGGAGCCGAATTATAGTTTGAACATTTATAATTCAAATCACATTTTGCTTCCACCAGCATGTCGCGCAGGAAAGAAAACGAGGAAACGGACAAGCAGACGCGTATTGCCATCGTCAGCGATGACAAGTGCAAGCCGAAGCGTTGTCGGCAGGAGTGCAAGAAGTCCTGTCCGGTGGTGCGCATGGGCAAACTGTGCATTGAAGTGACGCCCACGTCGAAGATAGCATCACTTTCCGAGGAGCTGTGCATCGGTTGCGGTATCTGTGTCAAGGTATGCATTCTCTTGGCGTTTACCTGCCCGACAGCTGTTAATCGAATTCCTTTACAGAAATGTCCGTTTGAAGCCATTACAATCATCAACTTGCCCAGCAATTTGGATAAGCACACAACGCATCGGTATAGTAAAAACTCGTTCAAGCTCCATCGCCTGCCTATCCCACGACCTGGTGAAGTCCTCGGCTTGGTTGGCCAAAACGGTATTGGCAAGTCCACGGCGCTGAAAATTCTTGCTGGCAAGCAGAAACCAAACTTGGGAAAATATGCGAACCCGCCGGACTGGACGGAAATCCTGGCCTACTTCCGGGGCTCCGAGCTGCAGAACTATTTCACTAAGATCCTGGAAGATAACCTTAAAGCCCTGGTCAAGCCTCAATATGTTGATCAGATTCCGAAAGCGGTTCGTGGCACTGTTGGCGACCTGCTCGATAAAAAAGATGAACGGGATCTGCAAACGAAGATTTGCGACATGTTGGATCTGTCCCACATTCGGGATAGAGAAATTGCGCAACTTTCTGGTGGAGAGCTTCAACGATTCGCCATTGCGATGGTGTGCATACAGAATGCTGACATTTTCATGTTCGACGAACCGTCCTCTTATTTGGATGTAAAGCAGCGTCTAAATGCTGCCTTGACTGTTCGCTCGTTGCTGCATCCTACCAAGTATATAAATGAATTACAGAAGCCCATGTACCATGCTAAAGTATATCTTTTTCAACAGGTTCATAATCGTTGTGGAGCACGATTTATCTGTGCTGGATTATCTGTCAGATTTCATCTGTTGCCTATATGGCGTACCCGGCTGCTATGGTGTTGTGACTATGCCTTTTTCGGTTCGTGAAGGTATCAACATCTTTCTGGACGGCTTTGTGCCAACGGAGAACATGCGTTTCCGTACGGAGTCGCTCACTTTCAAAGTATCCGAGTCGGCCACGGAGGAGGAGATCAAACGCATGAATCATTACGTTTACCCCTCGATGGTTAAGACATTGGGCAAATTCGAGTTGACCGTAGAGAAGGGTCATTTCAGTGATTCGGAAATCCTGGTACTGCTTGGTGAGAACGGCACGGGCAAGACAACGTTTATTCGTATGCTCGCTGGCAATCTGCAGCCGGATGGTGAGGTAGAGCTGCCCATGCTAAACATTTCGTACAAGCCGCAAAAGATTTCACCCAAGTTCCAAAATCATGTGCGCCATCTGCTGCACGAGAAGATTCGCGATGCCTACGTGCATCCGCAGTTCATTGCGGATGTCATGAAGCCCATGAAGATCGAGGAGATCATGGACCAGGAGGTGCAGAACCTCTCTGGTGGTGAATTACAGCGTGTGGCCCTGGTGCTCTGCTTGGGCAAGCCAGCTGACGTATATCTTATCGACGAACCCTCTGCATATCTGGATTCTGAGCAACGTTTGGTCGCCGCCAAAGTGATAAAGCGGTACGTATTTTACTTCTTAACTCCATTCAATTTTATTTGAAGACGATTTTCGAATTCGCAGTTACATTCTTCACGCCAAGAAGACTGGCTTTGTAGTGGAGCACGATTTCATTATGGCTACATACCTTGCTGATCGTGTCATTGTTATTGAGGGCCAGCCCTCGGTGAAGACCACAGCGTACTCGCCCCAATCTCTGCTCAATGGCATGAATCGATTCCTTGAGCTGTTGGGCATTACTTTCCGACGAGATCCCAACAACTTCAGGCCGCGCATCAATAAGAATAATTCGGTCAAGGATACCGAACAGAAACGCTCTGGACAGTTCTTCTTCTTGGAAGATGAGGCTGCGTAATTGTGTATAGAATTGATTGCCGTCAGCTTTGTTAGAGAACTCGGATTTATTCGTTCTACTGTACAAGCCAATCGCGTTTTTTCTCTTTAAAAGTCACCTTATCTTTTTATTGCATTTTTTAACAATGAACACATCTTCAAACATAATTTTCGTTATTTTTTGTGCAGAATTACAAACAATCGAGCATATTAAGGGTTCTTTAAAGTGAGTTTTTTTACGAACACCGAAAACAAACTATATATAAAAACAAATATGAATACAATAGGAAAAACAATTTTGTATAGTCAAAATAAATTAATTTACTTTTTAGAAAACGGCAAATTTACTGCGTTTCAATTGTTGATACTAAAACTGGGACTTCAGGTGCAGCAGGTGGCAAGTTTTGCCAGATGTTTGAAAAGAATGCATTTATCAAATAGATGAGTTGGCAAAATAATACGCATTTATTGCACTTAAATGTTAATTAGCATAGTATACTCGAAATACGCACAATAGATATATATATATAAATATTTTCATACAAATTACATAAGAATTTCTATGATTTCAAATACGATCACAATTCGAAAGAAACATACAATATTTTTACCATACTAACTACAAATATTTATATTAACACATGCAATAGGGAAAGACAGTATAAGCTTTTGACGTTATTAATATATATGTATATATATATATTTATGTATACATATTCTCTTCATTTATTAACGCTTTAAAAGCATTAAATGAACGCGATTCAATCAAAATTTACAAAATACCAACTTTTCGAAAAAGGCAAATTTTTTCAAATTGAACAATTTTACATTTGATCAGCTGCTTAGCGGAGATTTGTGTTTATCGTTAAGTAATAATTGTAAATTTAAAGACTTATTTTACTAAAAATTCCATACATGTAAATGCGTCAAAAATTGACTCAAATTGTTAGACATTTGATAATCTTATGTGCAAGATAGTTTCAAGAGAGCTTCGTTCAAGTACATAGGGAAAGGAGATCGCTTGTTAATTACATCCAGAGAGAGCGCTTCAGATTTACAGATTAGACCGTCGTTTCAATAAATTACAATGGACATTTAGGAAAAAATGTTCGGATACTCTGTTTTGATCGAAAATCAGATCTTTTTTCTTTTCTTTTCTTTGTTTCTTGGTTTTGTTTCAGCAATGTTTATAAATGGAACTTTTCGAGACTTAGTCATTAGTGTTGAACTTTCATCCAAAATAAAAGTTGCTTAAACAATTGATTCAAAATGGCTACAGAAAGTATCAAAAATAAGTGTATATATGTATGTATATATATATATATATATATATATATATATAGTATATAAAATATGGTTAGAGAGACACAGAGATAACTGCGCAATGAGGTAGATAACCCACTCATGCATTATCCACATCATGTATTTGTGCCGCAACTTCCTGACATAGTTCCACAGCCTGTTTGCGCAGCTTGAATGCCTAATAGAATCATAGCAAATTGTTTTATTCAATTCAAATATATATCTTTAAAGTTACAGCTTTCACCTGGGTTCTAAGCTCTTTTTCGCATGTTATCAGCTCTTGTATTTGTGTCATGGTAGTTGCTAAATTGCGTTGATCAATCACCCAGCGCAAATAGAGTTCTTTAAATAAAATCCAAATTAATGTGAGTGAATAATTCTATATAATATACAAAGACCCACCGCTCCACAGTTCCAAGCTGATAGGCGCAACAGAGGGCCAAATCACGCTGGAATTCGGCTCATACAGGGGATTAAGTAAGGTTTGCAGCACATCTGGCCGATTGAGGTACGACCACAAGCTAGTGGTCCTTGTGTGCACCTGCAGCTCGTGTCGCTCACGCTCCGAGTTGCACAAGAAGGTGCCATACTGCGAGAAGTAGCTGTGCTCGAAGAGTAAAATAAGAAGCTGCGTGCTGAACTCAAAGCTGCACGGAAACTGTGTAAACAGTTGAAAGATGCAATCCAGAAAGAGAACGAAGGTGGCGCCCGAGTGCTTGTTCCTCAACTGATGTGGAGTGTAGCAGGAGTAGCGATGTCGCGCTGCGAAAGGATGACCCGCCTGTATCCACTCACGTTCAATCAGTGCTTGCAAGCTGCAATGCATCGATAATTGTAGCTATAATATATAAAATAAGGTAAGACACAACTAACCCGCGCACAGTTCGGCAGTCTGGATTCAAGATGATTTGCACCAACGATGTGACAATCAGGGTGGAGTCCAGACCCTTGGCGCCATGCACCAGCACAGGACTGCCCTCCTGATCCAAGCACTGGGCCACCACACACGAAGCATTCAAGGAATTGAGCACCAGGCTTAGCCAGCCGCTGCTCTCCAGTCGAGACAGCCACTTGTCTGTACTACATCCAATATCGTTGCAGGCTTCAATGAGTTTCGCAAAACTGTCCAGAATGGAGGCGGGTGAGCTGACATTGCCGATTGAGCGATTCACCTTCTTCCACTGCGAGTAGTGCAGATCAGTTTCCGTGTTCGACTTGCCCTTGCCCCACGTGTCGACAATGAAGCCCTTTTTACTTCGGCCCAGCACAAGGTTGAGTATCGCCTCGTCCGCGCGACAGCGCTTGATACCCTGTATGGACATCGGCTGTGCGCTGCGCATCAGTATGGCCTGAGTAGAGTAAATAGGTTAATTCAATTATGTCCTTAAACAAATCAACAATCTAATTAAACTGACGCCGTTCTCATGCCTGTAGCTGAGCAATGGGAAACGTCCGCCATCTCGAAATGCAGCGGAGAGTGCGATTTGTTCATCGCTAATTGCTTTAGGTACAATCAGTGTGGCGCCATATGTGGGACAGACGCTGAAGTCACTATTTACGTGACTGATTCGCCACTCGCAGGCCGACACAAAGTTGCCGCTTCCACTACAGCTGCCCACCAATGCAGTCGCCGCGTCCAATGCGAATCCATTTTGCAGAGGATGGGGTATATTGCTAAGCCCGATGCTAACAGACGATGTGGAAGGCGTGCAAATTGTTATGTTTGCCACATTTGGTGACGAGGCACCGCCCATGCTCATGCCGCTGATAAGATGTGCAAATTCCAGTTCAGGCCTGCGATAAAGACCGTTATTATGCGTAGTTTAATAATTACATTGGAACGAACCTAAACATGGTGAAGCCATCTTCCAGTATTGAGTACATGGGCCTGTAGAAGAATGGATACTCCAGCTCCACGTTTTGTATTGCACTTAGCGCCTCCAAGGAAGCAGCCACGTTGAAGAAGTCTTTGGCGTACTTGATCTCGAGAGATATAATTCGCAAATCCTTGCATTTCAGTGTTATGATGCCGCCCATGACAATGTTCTGGCCCATGCTCGGCTTCTTCTCCACGCAATCGATGTTCTTGTGCAGCAGCTGGAAAATTCACACAATTCAATTAGCCGTTAACTGGCAAAAAGCAATTAATCGCTTCACTGGATGCTCACCCATAGCTCCTGTGTGCTCTCCTGGCGTGCACTGAGCAGTAAATGGTGACCCGTAATGCACAGGGTGCCTTCAACTGTTGCATTTGTTGCATTAGTATGCAAGAATACCCCATCCAATTTGGGTGTTTTTATCAGATCAGCGAACTCCATGTCATCCAGGCGCCCACCCTCCTTGACCTACACGCGCACACACTCACAAATTGCGACTGACCACCCACGGAGCGGTGATTCTGTTCACGCTAATTAACTTTCTGCATTTTGCCTGCGGAGCTGCCGCAACGGCTGCTGGCTGCTGTTGTTGTTTTTGTTATCGCTGTTGCCACTTGATTGCTTCTTCTTCCGCTACCCGCCTTTTCCTATTTTTACTCTGCTAAGCCAGCAACAGCAGTGTGGGTATTACAGTATGATGGAAGGCTATGCTTTCATTATTCGGTTGCTGCACGTATGTAAATACTCGGCACACACTCCATTAGCATTTAATACTTTTTCTATATTTTTATTTTATCCTAAAAAAGTATTTTTGTACATTTTCCAAGCGATAACGGTGTGTAACCATTCACTGCGCGACGCGGACACACAGCGAATAAAGCTCAAGCAGATGTATTTTCGTGTAGGCGACGGCATTTAAAAAAAATACATACCAGCGCAGCCCTCATGCGCGCGCAATTCAAATGAAAAACTATCGGTATTAAAATACGAACCGTCGGCTGTATAATTATATAAATATTTATTTATACGTAAAAGTTAATTTAAAAAGGTTTGCTTACAAAAAATAGGGAAGTTATCCGTTTTTGTCTGTTCCATGGTATTGAAACCAAACACAACACTTGTCAGTATTTGTCTTTCAGGCTTATAAGTTAGGGGTTTTCATTTGTTTGCGTTTATTGTGTATCCTTCGGACTGTGATCGGGTGAATTTTATTATCAAACATAATAGAAAATAGAGCTACATATGTGTATGTATTTTTGCGAGTCCGCGTGTTTTCTTTGTAGTCATTGAAAAAAATTGCTTTTCTGTTAATTGTCACAATTCGAATATATATGTAAATACTCAACAGCTTTAACGTACAATAAATGTATTGCAAATATACTCATCAACCAACTAACACACAGTTAATATATGTGTGTTATTTATATTTTTGTTTTTGTTTCTTTTCGTATAAGATATCACAACAGGATGCCAAAAATTTCCTAAAGCACGAGAATGGGGTGATAAATAAAGCATCTAAATAAAATAATCCAAATAATAGTAGCAATGCTAAAAAAAAAAACAAAAGATAATCATTGGCGATACGCTTTATTTTTTCGCTAAAACATATGATTTTCGATTCTTTGTACCAACAACTTAACCTACGTAGTATAAGTAAATAAAATTATACTAAAATTAAGCACTTATAACAAAATTATGAATCAAAGTGCAAATGAATTTAGAAAAAAAAAAAATGTTTTCTGGTTTTAAATTTTGTTTAGATTTAAATGTCGTATGCTTAGTGTTTTTATGTGAATATTTACATTATGCAACATTAAAACAAAGAAATGCACAAAGAAATTGGAATGCATAAACAAAACGAAAAGTTTGTGAAGAGGAAGACATTTATGCAATGCAGAAATTAAAAACAATTCTAAATATGGCAATTGACAAAAGAATTATGTACGTAATGTAATTATGTATTATTAAATATAACGATTATGCAATATTGGAAGAGCTTTGGAAACAAATCGGTGGAAGTAAGTTAATAAGCTAACAAACATAATTTTGCATTAACAATTTACATTTTTTTACTTTTTGTTTTTGTTTTGTTTAAATTAACATGAGAAATTAAATGCATTCAATAAATATGTATGTGTATGTAAAATGGAAGTAAATTTGTTCTTAACAACGCTTGATTTTTGTTTTGCTTTTGTTTTGTGTGCCAGAGCTTCAAATACATATACCTAAGAATATATGTATAATATTAGCTGTATGACAGTTAAATATATATATATATGTGTAATGTGTAAGTATATGTAAATGTACATATGTTTGCATGTATGTGTCTGTAGCATTGGCTTTCACAATTCGCTACAATTAATTTCTCTTGCATGTGAGTTAAGTGTATGTGTGGGTGTTGCCTAGACCAATCTTAAGTATCTAACTAATTTAGATAGTTGCAATTTATCTACGCCTAGCATAACTGGTATATGTATTATATATGCATATATAAATATATATAATATATATATGTATGTATAGTATAGAGCTAGAGTATGTTTAGGCTTAATCATATCTCGATTTCCTTTTGCTTTTTGCTATATACAACGTTTTCTTCTAGATATATATTAAAGTTTTTAAACTTATTACACAACTTACGAGTAGTTAGCAATTAAAAATTCTTAGCAATTTGGGAGTTTGTTTTTGTTGTCGTTTAAGTTGTTAGCAGCTTACATAGTTATCAGTTTTCTTTGTATGGATATTTCGGTTACACAAAATCAAAGTAGAAAAATTTGTGTGTGTGGGTGTTGTATAAATACAAAAGAATAATAAATAGGCTTAAACATTTAGATTTCGCTTGTTTGTTACTCCATAGTATATAAATGTGTATAAAAATAGTTAATTAAAAAATCTTAGATCTACACACTTTAAACTTGTAATTCGTACAAAAAAAATATAGTTTAAAATAAGCACACGCTTAACGCATCTGTTGCTGCTGGAAGTGTTTCGAAGTACCTTTATGTATATATATATATGTGTGAGTGTGTGTGTGTGTATGTGATTGTGAATGTTTGGGGGTGTGTTTGTGCTGGGGGAGTGGGGTGAGAGCAATAGTAGAGCAATTATGCGCATTCACCGAGTCAATATTATCGCTCTGGGTATGGCGAATACGCATAATCTTGAACGCTAATAAATCGGCGGCGCTGGCTTTGGCAGCACCGCAGCTGTTGCTGCCACAGCGACGGGGGCGTTCGCTACACTGCTGGGCGGGGCTGCCACAACACTTGACGCTGTCGACGATGGGCTCGACGACGAAGCGTTGCCACAGCTATTGTTGTTTATATTATTGTTGTTATTGTGTCGCTGGTTGCGCAGTTGCTGCTGATATTGCAGTTGTTGTTGCTGTTGCTGCTGTTGATGTTGGTGGTGTTGATGGTGCTGCTGGTGAAGCTGCAATCGCTGATGCTGGTGCTGCAGATTATGCATAAAGTAGGCGTTCACGTTAATGTTGCTGTTGCTGCTGTTCGTTGTCGCTGGCAGAGCGCGCACATGTTGCATCTGCGGCAGCACCGGCTGCAGTTGTTGCTGTTGCTGCTGCTGTTGTTGTTGCTGGTGCTGCTGTTGGTGATGATGTTGCAGATTCAATTGGCCTGCGGCGCGCATCATGTGCCAGTAGTTGTCATCGCCGATCGGAGCCTGCCGACTGCCGTACTTCAGCTGCCGTGTGATGTCCTGCTTGTAGTCGCGATGATCCCTATCAATCGCGTAGGCCTTGTCGCGTAGCTTCTCGATCGTCTTCTTGAACTCGACAAATGCATGCGGCGACTGTTGCTGCAGGGCGCTGGCCAGCGGGACCAGCGGATTGTTCTGCTGCTGCTGTTGCTGCTGGGTGTGCTGTGGCAGGGGCATGGACAGGTGCTGGTGGTAGGCGAGTGGGTCGAGGAGCGCGTCCAGCAGATTCATATTGGACATGATGAGCGTGTGTATGCGCTGCAGATCCAGAGCAGGATCGAGCGCGGTGACCAAATCCATTTGGAAGTAGTCCATCTCCTTGGCGGACACGTTCTTGCAGCCCGGCGCATTCTCGTCGGAGCGCCCGCAGCAGCTGTAGTAGCCACTGATAAATGCCGAGGGATGAAAGTATTGCATCCGGATGGAGTTCATCAAGCAAATCTTGTGCAGTAGGTCGAACCATTCGCGCTCCTCCACGCAGTTCGTCGTTTGTACAATAAGCGGGCGGTCTTTGTGCACGATCTGTGGAATGGAAGATGTGAACATATTTTCAAATTATTATGTGCGTTCTTTTCACTTTCAGCCTATATAAATGCCACAGTGAAACCAATTGTCGCAATTGTCGTTTCACACGGCCAAAAGTCCCACGCGTTCCTCCTCCAACGTAACCGAATTCTTTGCTTTCAAGCGCGCCCTCGACTTCTTGAAGCGTTTGGAAATTTCCCTTTTTGTCGCCGCGAAACACAAATGAAATGGCGAAGCAGACGAATAACAATGGCTCGGTTGAGTCGGAGTTCCGAGTTGGAGTTGGAAAATATAGTTGGCCGCAGCCGGAGGGGGAAGTGCAGAAGTGTGGAAATGTTGCCAACTCATTTTCATAATAATGTTAATTATTTTTAATTGCGCGCTTGCCATTTGCATGGACGCAACCAACGCGTCTAGATGGAAATTCAAATGACAAGTGAAAGTTTGCTTTTACTGCTGCCCTTTGCAATTAATACTAATTTCAGCGCATGATATTAATCAAATTATTTTTAAATTATATACTTTTTGATTAGATTTTAATGAAAATATAAAAAATAAATAAAAGCAAAAAAAAAAAACATATGCATATCTATGTATATTAATTAATTTTAAAACAAACCTAATATGTAATTAAACGATAGCGTTTCTTATTGTATTAATAGCTGTGGTCCATTCATATGTACATACATGCATATGTAAGACATATGGCAACCTTGCTCACACACACACATACTGCAACGAAACTAGCGCGTTGAGCATGTGTGGGCTGCCTGCACCTAATTTATTTATAAAAATTCATTTGTAGAATTGTGCATTTCCGGTATTATTGTCTTACATGCAATTGGGTATATTAGCTATGCATGAACTATGTATGTCAAGAGGGCAAGAAAAACTTGTGTCTAAGATTTCAGCTGGTCACTGTATGTGCATGTCTGCATTTTCCACCTCGTGATGCCAAATGCAACGAGGCGTGTCCCATTCATATTTAAATTAGCCGATAGTTATCGATATTGTCTGATCTGCAGTTGCAACTCACCTTGAAGCAGTTTTGCATTTTAAAGCTCTTGTCTTTCAGTTGCTCCACGCTTCCGATTTCCTCAAGCGGTATATCACAGATGGGTCGTTTGCCCTTCGACTTGGCATAGCTCAGCGAGTGCGTTGTCAGGCGAAAGTAACGTTGCTTAAATTGGCTTCCAAAGCGTTTGCGGCTTGTCGGATATTTGGTCATCATGCTGTGCGCCCAGATGGATACAGAGACAGACCGCGATACACGACACACATATATAAATAAGTAGCAAGTAGAGAAAGAAAGAGAACGAAAACAAATGAGCAAATGTTATGCATTTAATGTTTCGTTGTTAGTTTTTTGTTTGCAATATAAATGTAACAAACAACAAAACAATATTTTTAGTAGTTCCAAAATGAAAAGCAAATTTTCTCTTACCCCTCGCTAGACGTTAGTATTTTTTTTTATTTGTATGTGCAAATGGTTTAGATGTATGTGCATATGTGTGTGTTTTTTGTTGTGGATGTGTAATGTGTGGTGATGGGAATTTGTTGGGCGTGATGTGATGATATGGATTGTTGTTTATTTATTTATTTTTTTTTGTTTTGGTTTTTTTTATAAAGCAGCACGCGCGTAAAAGAAGAGAAAGACAAAGAAAGTTTTGGTATTAGAATAAAATAAAGCATAACTCAACCAAATGTGGTGTATACAAAACTTTGAGATATGTTTGTACTGAGAGCAATGGCAAGGATGGAAAACTATCGATAGCAAGATATTGAATCTATTGGAAAACTATCAATTGTTTTCCACTATGCAAACATATGTATAAATTAATCAATATCAAATAAAACTTACCCCTCCTTTAGTAATACTGGTTCTAATGGCAACTGCGGCATTGATTGCAACTGTTTGCTGGGCGTGTCAGAGGCGTTTGGCGTGGAGATGACCTCCAGAAAGTGCTTGACCGCATCCACATGCTTCTCTGTGCAGAACTTCTTGTATAGCTCGCCGGTGTACTCCTCCTTGCAGGGTTGTTGCGACGATCGTGAACTGACCAAATTACCCAGCGATTGTATCGTCTTAGAGATGAGTGTCAGCGTGCGATTTGTTTGGGCATCCTGCAGAGAAATCGGGCGGAATTAAATCAGGAATATTAACAAATTGTCAAATTATGTGCTTACCAGTCGCTCTGTGGTCAGGTCAAACAGCTTGGGACCCAGTATGGCGGGCGCAAAGAATCTCAGAAATATGAAGCCAGAGACAACCGAGTAACGCACCTCACGATTGCGTGGGAAATGTTTGCCTGCGCATTCGCGCAGATCGTGAAAGATCTGACACAGAACCTTGGGACAACGCTCTGCACTCTTGGTGATAGCCTCGAATACACGCTCCACATAATCCTTGAGATTGTGCAGATTGGTGTCAACAGCCGAGCGATCCTTCACCTTGCTGGGATCAATTTCGCATGGTTTCTTCTCGGCCACAATTTGCGACAGAACCGGACGTAGCGTCTGGTGCAGATAATGAAGACCCGATAGCCTCATGGCCTCATCCATCATCTTGGAGACGAGTGTGTTGCCACGGAAAATGGTCGTCGGATCGGTCAGATTCGAAATTTCATGATCAGCCAAGGCCTTGATAATGGGCGCAATGCGCTCCGTGTGCGTGAAGAGGCGCACCAAGGGCTGGGCCACCTCCGTCTTGCCCGACACCAGTTCGCCGAGAATGTAGACCGATGACAGCGTGATGGGCCGCTGATCCACCGACTCCAGTAGTAAGTTAAGCAAGTCATCGTACGTGGCCAGTGGAAACACGTGATCTGCTGTGTAGTTTAGGTTCAGGCGCAACGATCCAATGGTGGAATCCACGCTGAGTCGCGTTCCAGGCGGCGTGGCGCAGGAACGGGGTGTCGCACTCAGGGAACGGCAACTGCTGGATGTAGTCCGTGGTTGCAGATAGTACCAAGCAGAGGGCTGCACCGCCTGCTGCTGCTGGTTGTTCAGCATCGGGAGGCGCACCTCGCCAAGGAACACCTTATCGGCCATGGCGCCATGGGCGTCATGCCACAGCGTGACAGCAATCTCGCAGAGATCGGCCCCGCCCAGTGGGTAAATCGCGTACGCCTTATTTGCGGACGACTCCAGCGACGCCGCAGACTTGTTGCTATTCGTTGTGCCCGTGCTACCCGCCTCGGAGTCAATGGAGAGATCGAAGTACATGACCTCGTCGAACTCTGGATCGACGGTCTTCTTGCGTTGCTTTGTACGTTTCGTGATCACCTGCTTGTTGCTGTAGTAGGCCGTGCAGATGACGAACGGATCACAGGTGCCCTGCTTCTTGGCCAGGTCTATGCACGCCGGCACACGAATCGCCACGCGCACGTTGCTGGAATGCGTGTTCTTCCAGTTGGCCAGCTGATCCGTGGAGGATGTGGCCAGATGCGCCTGCAGCTGCGGTTGGTGTTGCTGGTGATGGGCCACATGTCCAAAGAGACCTGCCGCCCGAGTCTTGAGTGTCATGCCCGCAGAGTTGGCGCCACTCGCGGCTGCTGCTGCGGCTCGTTGAATGTTGCTCAGTTCGTTGTTCTCCTTGTAGTCATTCAGATGGGCGCGCTGATGATGCGAGTGATGCTGTAGCTGGACCAATTCGATGCTTTCTGTGAGCAACTGCGGCCTTTCCTCGAAGGCCACCTGTATGTGCACCATGCCCTGCACCTCCGAGTCGGCGTCGACCGGACGCAGCGAGAACCAGTGATCCTTGTGATTGTACTTGTGCAGCTCCTCCCGCTTGATGGCTATTTTGCCAATGGGCTTGTCCTGCTTCATGTCCCGGTCCCACACATAGACCGAAAGATAGCGAAAGCGTCGCGGTATTTTGAACTGATACTCCTCGCCAAAAAAAGGCGACAGAGTGCGTTCGCTGATGGGCGTCCGGCATATTTCCTCCTGGTCCAAGGCAATGGTGCAGTATACATCTCGAGTGCCCTGAGTGCTGCAACTAGTGTTCGCTGCATTCCGACTGCTCAGGTTTTTTGCTTCACCTGCAAGTCAAAGATTTAATATATTAAATATCAAACTCTATAACTTTTAGCTTCAATAATAACACAATCTCAAGCTTCAAATGAACGCACTTGTTCCGTGAACTGAACCTAATGCTAAGTGAATTAGCTTCCTGTCTAACTATCGCAATAAATATGCTTTGGCTTCAATCATATCTACCATCGATAAGATTACGATTGACATCTTCAAATAAAAAAAAAAAAAATCTCATTGCGACATTGATAGTTACTTCATTATGCTTGCTGCTCTATCGTGAAGTGAATCAGCTTTGTATTGCAATAAATTAGCTTTGGCTTCAATCATATCATATCTAACATCGATATAAATACGATTAACGGCTTGAGGAAAAAATATTGCAAAATCTTATTGCATGTAGTTGCTTAATTATGCGTTCACTTAACAAATCATTTCAGTTTAAATACTACTTTTTCAGCATAGCGTTTGGTCGGCTCACTTTGATGCCGCCAAAGGGCAGGCCGACACCAACGTGACTTCCTGTGCGCCGATAAATTGCATTATCGATGCGCAGCCCCACCTGGGCGAAAACAAGCAGCAGCAGCAGCAACAACAGCAAAAACAATGCCAGCTGCTTGAATAGACGGCATGTCCCTGTTTTTGAGTGTTAAAAGTAAATAATAAGAGTTCGCTGTAGCTGCTATTGCCTTGATAAGCCAAGTTAATCAGGCAATGACCAGCGGGAAGGCATTGGCAAAGTATACTCAATGAATCTAAAACCTTGCAATCGATTGCGCTATACTCTGTTAGCAGTGTCAAAATAATAGAAATAATTCATTCCATTCGACTTGTTAACTTACAATTTTGACTTTGAAATCAACACTTTTGATCGTTTTAATTTATGGCATTTTATAAAAATAAATTTATAGTAATAATATAAATTTCACAACCTGATGCAATAAGCGAATATACCCTTTCTTGACATTGTGCAGAGCATAAAAATTAACAGCGGCAGTCGAGCGGAAATATAATGCGTATGATGAATATTTATGCATGTGTGTGCGTGCTAGGCAGCATGTAGGCATGCAAAGGCAAAGGCAATGGCAAAGGCAAATGCGCAAAAATATTGTGTTGTGCGACTCTTCTTCTTGATTTTCCATGAGGCGAGTGGAGAAGGTGCCACTGCGGCCTTCTCATTAACACAGCTGGCTCGGCTGGACTAGGTGAACTAGCTAAGTGAGTGCGCGTGTGTGCGAATGTCTCTTTTGGCAGAGAGACCAATTACATATATGTGCATATATATTTGCGTACTCTGGCTGCCTGTGTATTAGTGACAGAATAACGCTGCTTTTTACGATCGCTCGTGCGCTCACGCTTTAGTCGTAAGGAAAACAAAACCAACAAATACGATTGATAACAAGAGACGATGAAGCCGATGGTTGTCGTCATTGCTTTTACTTTGTTTTTGTTTTTCTTTTTCGTCTTGGCATTCCAAGTTTCGTTTTATGAATGGCAGCGGCTACGCAAATGCTACAAGAAAAACAATACAGAGTCAGATTTTATATGCAAAAATACAAACGAAAGCAGCAGCGACAACGAAATGAAATGAAATAAAATACAAATCAAATGACAAAAAAAAAACAAAATACTTTTACTCTTTGCTCATCCCTCCCGTTCGGCGGCTGCTATTCATGCTGCTTGCCGTTACTCAAGCTCGCTCTCTCCGTCTCTTTTTGACTTGCCTGCTAACCGCACCACGACAGACAGACAGTTTCATTCATTCATTCATGATTCATGAATTGGCATCGCGCGCTATTGCTGCTGCTGCTTCTTCTGTTGTTTTTGTTGTTTTGTGTCGTTTTCACATTTTTTCGCCGCTGTTTTTGTCGGCAGAGGGAATTCCACGTTCCTCGCAGCCAGCCAAACAAACTGCCGAATTTTGTACGGTTTTACTCTATGTCTACTTATACGCGCGCGCTGTGACGTTTTATTTTTACCAAATTTATTAAAGCATGTTTTGCTTCCTTCCTCTCGCTTTATATTTATGTTTCTATATAATGTTTGGCTTGTTTATATGACAATATAAACACTTGCTAACATATGCAGATATACATAGTGAAATTCCATTTGAATGAGCTGCCCCATTGGCTAAATTTAAGCGTTATAATTGGGTTTTATACCGAATTTATTTAATCGCAGGGAAAGTCTATGGGCCCAACGTAGCGCGTTAAACAGATAACGAATTTATAGAGAATCCACACAGGCACACACATATGTACACATATATTTCGAAATATAATTGCTTTCCGTTCGATTATACGTCCTTGAAATCGGTTTATAGGTCATATCATCTTTCAATGGATGGCGAGTTTTTATAAAATCTAACGGAAATTAAGCTTTACCTGTATAGCATTTAAAAAAGAGTTATCATGAAATAGATCTTATAATATATAAAATATAGAAAAAATTACTCATTGTCTATTACCAAGAATCAAGCTATGAATTAGGTAATTCCCATCTTTTTCTACACATTTTTCCCTAAAATATCTGCGCTAGTTCACAAAATTGAACTTCAACTACTCAGGGAACGATGAAGTTCTTCGCTCTTCATCTCGAGTGGTTCGAGATAATTGAAAATTAAATTACGCATTGATAACAAGACTTACAAAGTGCTTAGCATAATGTATGATATTTTGTAATATGAATCAGCTTATATGCTCATATGATTAGAGCAATATCTTTTTGGATTTTCCCCAAAATTGGTTCGGCTTGATGAAGGAATCTAATAATAGCGCCCGTTTTACACGTGTACCATGTGGCAACATCTAAGGCTAGTCACACACAAACATCAAATGAGTACTCGACACTCCCCCTTCGCTCGAGACCATGATGATGAAGAGAAAGAAAACGTAAGCCAAAAACAACTTTGACATTTGCCCATGGAGTGTGCCCCATCAATGTCATTCAGGCGCACAGAAAATTACGCCACGATTCGTGCAGCAAGAGAATCGGCTTTTTAAACATAGATGGGAATATCCCTTCCTCTCTCACTCTCTTTCTCTATATGTATATATGATACTGTATACATGTTAACGCAAAAAGGCGCGCCTCGTGTTTCGTCAGACTCATTAAATGCTTTCAATTTCCAGGTCCCCGAAATGGCAAAAGGAAAATTAAATTTAAGGGCTTTGTAAGTAGATTTCATTTGATGCCAACTCTCCTACGCTTTTCCTGCTTGCCTCTGGCTGTCTGCCTATCCCTGTCCACCATGTACATAAGTCTGTGTGTATTTTCCATTTTCTGTTTTTCCTTTTGCACAATATGCAAATTGATTCAGTGCAGCGTGAAACGCCCGCGAATTAATGAGGCGATTACTTCAAGAGCAGTGCACAAAAGAAAAACGAGAGATACTTTGGACTGGGGTAAAAAGAAGTTGTGCGGTCTATGGATATTCTAAAAACAAAGAAAAACGACAGAGACTGAATATGAAATACTCTTTCAAGAACTATATATATATGTGCATATATCCAGATATCTGCAGCTATACATAAATAATATAATATAATAGCTATAAATATTTCTATAATATATCCTAGATATAGCTAGAAGAAATAAGATTAAGCTTTTGTTAGAGAAGCAAATATTATTATAATACCCCTTTGGCAGGGTGTAGAAAAGGAGAAAAAGAGGCAGCAAAATTAATATGCAAAAGAAACGGAAATAGAGATAAATTCTCTCGCGCTATATATGTAGAGTGGATATATATTTTGATCGCACTGCCGAGTCAGCGGATGAGAGATTTACAGACAAACCAAACGATGTTGATGTGATGATGATGATGACGTCTGGGTCTCTGGCCGTTTGTCTAAACGTCAGCTTCCTGTCGAGCAAAGATTACTTGCACTTTATGCAGATTTCAGCCAAAGGTGTACGCCCTCCAACATGTGTGTGTGTGTATCTATGATATAGGTCTTAGTACCTCTTGTTGCATTCATAATATCGTTTCGCATTTTAGCTGCCTGTTCATTTCCCTGGGCCCTGCGAACAACTTCCTTTTCCGTTTACCACTTCCTTTTGGTTACACCAGAAGAAGGGTTTCACTCCAATCTAATTGGAGCCAAAGGAAGTAACTGGTTAGTCGGCGTGCAATCCAGTTTACTTCAGCAACGAGCCAAATATGCAATTCCAATTTTTATTTGATGCTCTCTTCTCCAGTTCTTGAAGAAATGAGTACATTTTAATCATTTACAGAAAAGTACCCTCTCCCTCACTGCTTCGTTTGCCCCGCGTGACGGTGTCTTCTCTTTCTCTTTCTCTTTCTACGCTCTTTCTGTCTGTCTCTCATCTGTTGCGTCTGTCTTTGTGTGTTGCTTTGCTGTACGTGCCGATCGATTTCCGGTCTGATTACGTTTCTCATCCACATGATCATCTTCTTCTTTTTCTTCTTTCGCCTGCCCTGGCCGGGTCTGGTCTGGCCTGCCCCGCTTGCCTGTTGCTTCGTCTGTTGTTTGGCTTCTGCTCGCGTGTTTACAGCTTTTCATTAGCGTCATCGTTCGTCCGATTGATCCATCGATCGCTGATCGCCGTTTTGATGTTTCTTTTATGAAGCACTTGATGTCGCCCGATACATGCGGTAAACGTGCGCCCTATCTTGCCAACAGCTATCTAGCCTATACCTGTATGACTCGACTAATAGGCGATGGAAGCTTCCAATCGTCATTAGATTGCATTTGATTTGACTCTAACTGAAGTAGATACACTGAATATTAGCTAATAAATTAAATTAAGGCAGTTATGTGCTATATGTACTATTTTTTTATAAGAATAGGTGCATAAGATTTAATTTAACTGACAAGGCAGACCACAGCGTACTTTTCAATTTGTATAACTATTTTCAATAATAGTACTGATGTAGCTATACTTCACAGAGATTATATATGGGAATTACATTTTCGTGGTCGTCTAACTACACAAATTAAATCGCAGCAAATTCAATATTCTCTATTTGTATATACAAATCATTTCC